ACGCAGGTGCCCTGTCCCGGGGCCCCTTCTCCAGGGTCCGGTGTCTCTCGGGGCCTTCAGCGTGGGTTTCCTGGAGGCATCTGGGGAGAGGAGAGCGCAGCTGGGAGGTTTCAAGCCAGACAAGCAGTAAAGCTGCTGTTCAGCGTTATGGACACCGTTCTGTCCCTTCCTCCCTCCCTAGCATGGTGCTTTTCTGTCTCGGTATAGAGCAGTGTGTTTTTTTCCAGGTATTCACATCCTGGGCTGCTGAGTTGGCTCTTAGGTCTCCCTGTAAGTGATTTGCACAGAAATTGTGTTATCATCTCTTGTTGGGCCTCTTATCAGTCTCATCTCTTCACCACACACCCCAAAAAGCTGTGTTCCTGAGCGCTGAGGGGGTATTCAGGATGGGCTGGGATGGGAGCAACACACTTCAGACTGGTTTGTACAAACACATTCTCTCTGCGTGTATGAAATCTGCTTAATGTGGCAAAATGTAAAAATAATTTGCAAGGGCTGAAACAGCAGGACCTGCCCTTGATGTCTGTTTGAGTGACAGCAGGAATTGTTCTGCAGCTTTGGAGGATTGGGTTGTCATCAGCCTGGATTCAGGCTTCTCAGGTGTTGGACAGAATGTTTCTGGGCCAGTGGGTTTCCTCCAGGCCACGAGAGCAGCTCTGCAGGCCCAGGTGTCAGATCTGCTCTTTCTGCCCCCTCATTTTTCAGCTTACTGGTGACACTACTGGAATAAACCTAAATATGTCCATTAAGAGGTGGTTTTCTCCAGTCAGTTAATATCTTGTGAGAAGAAGCAACTGTTCTGAGTTTGCTGGACAGTTGAGAGGAACTGCTGAACTCTTGAGAGGAATTTGTGCAGGCCACTGAAGGGAAACAGGAGCAGCCTCCCCGGGTGCTGTGTTTCTCCCTTGCAGAGCTGATGGGTTGTTTCAGCCTGATGAGGTTCCCCAGCACGCTGGGGCTGGGGCTGGAGGCCTGGCCTTCCTCTGGCCTCAGAGAGGGTCTGTGCTCAGCAATGAGCAGCACCTGAGCTTTGAGCTGTGCAGGCAAGTGCAGGTTCCATCTGCTGGGAAACCTGGCAGTGCTGGAAATCAGAGCTGCTGAGTGGTTATTTGCACAGGTTCAGTTCTCTAACCTGGGAACATCCATGGTCATTTTGTGGGGAACAACTTCAGGTATGTAGTTGTAGAGGCCCATCTTCAACTCAGTGTATTTTCACTTGATTTTTAATTCCTGGAGAGAGCTGGTCCTGGAACTTGAGGAGTCTGAGAAGAGATTTGGAATAATTAAAGAAAAAAAAAAGGACAAAACCAAAGAAAAAATAGAAAACAAACAAACAAAAAAAATCAAACCAAAAACCCACAAACAAATAAACAATCAGGCAAAAACCCCAAAGCCTCATCTTATAATTATTGCAAAAATAATGCTTTATAGGTCAAGAGTTAACTTGTGATAGCAGACCTGTGAATTTGTCATCAAATTCAGCTCTGTTAGTAAAACCATGGGATAGTTGGGAGTTTGATGTAGGACAGCTTCCCATACCAACCAGTGGCTTTTGAAATGTCATCTCCCAGAGGCTTCCTTGGTGCTTGTCCCAGCTGGAGCTGGAGAGCTGCTGGGAGGGCTGGGCAGGGCAGCGTGTGCTGCATCTGCTGTGGCCTGGTGACAGGCGGGGCCAACACAGCCCCAGAGACAACTCTCCTTGCTCTTGAGGCTGCAGAACATCAGTTTGAATCTGGGGTTGTGTTTGTGTCACTGGGCATTGTCTGAGCCTTTACAGTAAGGATTGTTTCTCTTTGTCACAGGTGCCTCTGCAGAGCCCAAAGGGGAATGTGCTCCTTGCTCTGTTCCCCCAGCCACACACTGCTCACCTGACAGAGCTGTAGCTCTCAGTGAGCTTCATACAGCTCTTTCATCCTGGCTGCCACATGGAGCACTCCCACATGCTGCTTCCTGAAGCTTTCCTTTTTTGCATGTCATTCTCCTCTCTTTTATTTTTTAAACAGAAAAAATGTGTTATTAACAGAAGTTTTATAATCACACTAGAGTGACTCCTCATGGGTGTTGTTTGCTAAAAACCAGCACAGCTTTCAGCTGTAGCTTTTGTGAATAATCCTGGCCTCTGCACATGGAGATGCAGGAGGGCTGCCAGGTTGATTTTGTGCTGTGTGAGGGCTGCAGGGAGGCTGTGGCACCGCTGGCACTGCAGGCACTGTAGCGGGGCTGTAACTCTGTCAGCCAACGGGAGGTGGCAGTGGCTGCTGCAGGAACAGGAGATTTCCTCTGCAGAGCTGCAACCCAGGCTCTGAAAATACATCGTAAAAAGCAGGAAATGCAGTTTCCTGAAGGGATGTTGCACCTCATGGAGCCAAATTCTGATGGATTAGAAAAAAAAAATAGGATAAGGTTTTAATATAAAGAAAGAAAAGTTTCTTTTCCTTTGACTGTGAGAGTTGCCTGGCAGCAGTGCTTGGTGTGTGCTTCCTTTGGGGCCAGCTGCTGTGTGCAGTGCTGTTCCATTGCTTGGGATCTGGCTGTTGCTGGGACATCTTGGCTCAAGTTCCAGACCAAGGCCCAGAGCAGATCAGACAGCCTGGAATTCCAGAGTCTTTCTGCTTTACCTCGTGGCTCATGGTGCCACCAGGAATACTTCTCAGGTTGATTCCAAGTATCAGTAGCCTATCTTGAGCAAGAAAGAAGTGTAAATAGCACTGTTTACACTGGGCAACTCTGTTTACAAACCTCTGCTGCCTGTCAAATACCCATTTCCTGAGTGTATTCATTCCCCAAATGCTGTGCTGTTTCTTTTTCAGTTCCAAAGAAGTGTCAGAAGGCTCGTGAGCACTTTGGTACAGTGAGGACACAGATGGAGTCCCTGAAGACCAAGTTTCCTGCTGATCAGTATTACAGGTGTGCAGGATCACACACAGCCAGACACAGATATGTATGGGAATTGCTTGGCATTGCAATAATTGCTTCCAATTATTGCTTTGGAATAATGATGTAAAGGTTGATGGGCTGAATGCTCCTTTCTCTTTGAAAAGTAAATCATGGTAGACAAGTGTGAGGTTTTTATCAGCATAGATAAAAACGCTTTTGCTCAAACACTTTAACTTTTCACCAAAAATACTCAGTATTGAACTATTTTTTCTAGAAGTTTTCTTTAAAAAGCAAAAGGGAAGCTTAAGAAGTTGGAGCTGCCCTTGTATCTGGGAGCAGGGCATTTGCTGCTCCATTAATTTCAGTTAAGTTGTTCAGTTTGGGGTGTTCCTGGAAGC